TCCCAAAACCCTAAGGCCAAAATCGTAAACCGCAGAAATAAAGGGTTTTGGGGTTTAGGGTTTAGGGTTTAGGGTTTAGGGTTTAGGGTTTAGGGTTTAGGGTTTAGGGTTTAGGGTTTAGGGGTGAAGCCCTGACCCCCCTACAACATGACATGGGCTTTGGCTTGAGTATCGGCATTCGGGTTTGGGCTGTAGGGTCCGGGGTTTAGGCTTTAGGCGTTACGGTTTCGGCATGAATATAGGGGCCTTAATCATTAGAATAGATTTTGCGGTATATTATACTATAACTATAATAAAAGAACCCAAAGTCCTGTTCCAATTACGAAGACCCCTACATAACATAACATTCCGAATCCTCTGTCGCACACCCTAAACCCTAAACCCTAAACCCTAAACCCTAAACCCTAAACCCTAAACCCTAAACCCTAAACCTGTAGTTTCCTGCGCTTCCCCTCCCTCAGCCCCGCACCCCGAGAGCGAGTCCAGGATGAAGGAGTGCCGGGCACGAAAAAAGGCCTCAAGCCGAAAGGAGGTTGTGGGGTTTACGGCTTAGGGTTTAGGGTTTGGGGTTTAGGGTTTGGGGTTTGGGGTTTAGGGTTTAGGGTTTAGGGTTTAGGGTTTGGGGTTTGGGATTTGGGATTTGGGATTTAGGGTTTAGGGTTTGGGGTTTAGGGTTTGGGGTTTGGGGTTTTGGGTTTAGGGTTTGGGGTTTAGGGTTTGGGGCTTAGGGCTTAGGGCTTCTAGCTTCTAAGCTTCGATAACCGGGTACCGCCAGCCTCTAGGTCAGCCCCACGGCTCCCCTGCCTCTATCCCTGCACCTCATAAGGCCAAAACCCTAAGCCCTAAGCCCTAAATCTTTAAGTCCTAAGCTCTAAACCCTAAACCCTAAGCCTTAAGCCCTAAGCCCAAAACCTTTAAGCCCTAAACTCTAAAACCTAAAACCTAAGCCCTAAGCCCAAAACCTTTAAGCCCTAAACTCTAAAACCTAAACCCGAAGCCCTAAGCCCAAAACCTTTAAGCCCTAAACTCTAAAACCTAAACCCGAAGCCCTAAGCCCAAAACCTTGAAGCCCTAAACTCTAAACCCTAAACCCTAAGCCCTCAGCCCAAAACCTTTAAGCCCTGAAGTCTAAACCCTAAACCCTAAGCCCCTAAGCCCAAAACCTTTAAGCCCTAACCTCCAAACCTGACGTTGCTTAGGGTTTAGGGTACACGTCTAAGCCCTACCTAATGTAGGGACCTTAATACTTAGAATAGGGTTTTGGGCTATGGTATACTACATTTGTAGTAAGGAAGCCTAAGCCCTAATGTAGGGGCCTTAACTAGAATAGGGTTTTGGGCCATATTACATTTGTTATGAGGAACCCCCAAAATAGTATAGGAAATTATGAAGGCCCCCATATTAAATATGGCACCGCCTATACCCTAAACCCCTAAAACCCTAAA